TCATCCTAAAATCTGTATAACAATCTTGATGGTAAATATGTTTCGATGAGTTATGAATTGCTGTTAAGAATATTTAGTACTAAATTATAGTTTGCCATATATATCATATTTGATATTTTATCATAAGGCAGATAATTGTCTTCTTAATGGTATCTCTCCATTTATGGTTATTTCCATTTATTACCCTTTTCATTTTATTTGATTATAAATAGATAACTTTCACACCATTTAGGTGTTGTGGAAAAAGTCCATTAATACCTCGGCATTGCAAGCACTTTTCAATTGCTCGCTTCTATTGTCTCTCCTTTATGATTAGTTATTTGAAAAAGGTTCATAATTTTTGTGTAGGTTCCAATCATCAATGAAATGTGTAATTAATATTCGGAATAGAAGTCCATTTATCCGTCCTTAATTAAACTCCTCATCCTTAATTAAACTCCTCGACTACTTCGAGTTATGACACTCTTTCTCTTCATCAAGTACAATTGAAAACAATCTTTTGCAATTTTGACCGTGATGGAAATGCCTTGCAAACATTTATGAAATCCTTCACTCGAACTTAGAATGACAATTCATCAAATACGATCATACAAGCAAGCATCGCTCTCCAATCGTCGAGTGAAAGATGTAGCTATCATATTACATTAAAAAATCTCTCCTTCAATGTAATCACGTGACTACTTATATATTTCTTACATTTTTTTTAGATGCGTAGATAAACTAATATATTCATGAATGGAACCAGAATGTAAAAAAAGAAAAAGAAAAAAAGAATTCATGAACTAAATTTCCGTGACCATTCTCAATTAGGCGGAAGTTTGACCAAAAAGAAGGAATGACGACTACTTGTATATCCCTGATCATTTCCTAAATTAGCTAATGTGAGACTCTTTCCTAACAATCCTCCCTTTGAATAAAGTACACTATAGAGTCTCCTCTGAGGCCTATGGAGCCCTCAAACAAACTCTCCCTAAGTTAAGGGCATGACTCTGATATCATGTTAAGAATAACCAATTTCTACGATGGTATGATATTGTTCACTTTGAGCATAAGCTCGCATGGCTTTACTTTGGGTTTCTCCAAAAGGCCTTAAGTCATCGTAGATGTATTCCATGATCATTTCCTAAATCAGCTCACGTGAGACTCTTTCCCAACAATCTTCCCTTCGAACAAAGTACATTAAAGAGTCTCCCCTAAGGCCAATGGAGCCCTTGAACAAAGTACACCTTTATTCGACACTTAGTCATTTTTTACTATACCTTCGAGGCTGACAACTTCTTTGATCGACATTTGAAAATTCTATTGACATAACTAAGTTAAGGGGATGACTCTGATACCATGTTAGGAATAACCACTCTCCACAATGGTATGATATTCCTCATGCAATTGGAGGTGTATTCCTTACCTATAAACTCGATCATTCCTAAATTAGTCAATGTGGGACTCTCTTCCCAACCCAATAAACTGATAAAATAAGATTGTCACACTCGCCAGTGAAGTAATCGCTTATGATGTGAACCTTTGGCCGGATGCGCCCGCCACGCGAAAGGGATTCCTCGCAGGCGTCGAGGATTTGATGAACCCTGCGATGACGAAAAGAAAAGAAGGGGAAATCAAGTTTCAAAGCAGAGTTGAGAATCAGTTGCGGGTAGCGGTGGATGACCGGAGACGCGAAACGGGGAGATTTGGAGGGAGGAGAATAGAGAGAGGAGGTTCCGAGGCCGACGACGGTGGCAGAGGTGGTGGCGAAGGCGGTGGCCATTTTGGATGATTCGTGGGAATAAGGGCTCGGGTGGTGCGGTTCGTTTGTAGAAGGGAGGGTGTGGGATTTTCTTTGGGATTTGATCGATGTGGATATTGGATGCATTTTTCGATGAATCAGGGTTTGACACGTGGAAATATTTGGATAAAGTGGGCCCATTTACTTCTCTCTTGAATTTTTGTGGCGGCGGTCGTGGGATCTTTAGATTTTTGAAATTTTGAAAATTAGAAAATTAATTTTTTATTATAAATAAAATAATTAATTTTTTTAATTAAAATTAAATGATTAAGTTTGAAGCTTTAGTACATAAATCTAACTCATTACTTGAGAATGGGAGAGAGATGAGAGATGTGAGTTTTTTTTCACCGAGAAACTCGAGGCTAATGGACGCTACAAGTCCCAACTCATTTTGATAGGTCTGTTTATAGCTTTACGTACCATTTTGAAATTGAGTCTTTCCAACCAAGCATTTTATTTGTTTTCCATTTATTAAAAAAAAATCTAATTATTTACTTATTCATCGTCAAATGGATTGATTTAGTCGAGACAAGTGAAAATTATTAAAACTCGAACTCAGTTGTCTAACTAGCATCATGACCTCAACAAGTATTTGTATGTACTCTTATATTTCAAGAGAGGAGAGCTACTACACCAGAGTCTAATTGAATCCCAGAAATAGATGTGTCATCCGAACCACTATGAACACGAATGGTTACTATTTATGGTTTGGAATTCGCTCAATTTCTACTTCAAAGTGGAAGAATAAAAGAATAGAACTTTGACTTTGAGAAAGTCAAAGTCCAACTTTGACTAAGTTAAAATGAAGACTATTTAATTTCTTTTTAAATTAAGTATCCAAATGTTGACCTCTCTCTTGGAAGAGATAAATTGAATGATTAAGGAATAGAGGAGGTTGTTTGGATAAATATTGTATTTAGGACTTATGCCCAATGCAAATATATGATGTGATGTATTATAAACATGTTTTAAATGTTTGGATTGTGACGCATATAAACATGTTTTAAATGTTTTGGACCATATTTTTATGTATATTATATAATTCTAATCATAAAAAATAATTAAACATCTTGAAAAATTATCCCACCAAAAATAAGAGTGTATAGAGTATATATTAAATATGACCCAATCCTAATTATAAGCGTTGAACCCAAAAATAGGAGTATATATTAAACTCGACCCGACCCAACCCAATTATAAGCCAGAGTTGGGTTAGATAACATTTTGGGTTGGAAAAAGAATAGGTCAGTTCAAGTTCTGGGTTGGTCCGAACCGAAATTTTTTAACGGTTGGAAAAAAATAGATTCAGTTCAAGTTTCAGGTTCATTGGACAAATTTTTGGGTTGGTCCGAACCAAAATTTATTTTATGTATGGGTGGGTCGGCTAAATTTTTTTTATGTATGTGTGGGTCGGCTAACCTAGTTTTCAGGTACAATTAGAAATGAGGAAAAAGTTTACAAAAAGTTTAAAATTTTCAATTCCATCCTCTAAATCATAGATTTAAATTTAAAATTTAAAATTTAAATGTAGAATTATTTTAAAATTTTCAATTCTATCTCATAAATAGGTTTATTTTAAAATTTTTAGTTCTATCTTATAAATCATATATTTAAATTTAAAATTTAAATGTAGTATTATTTTAAAATTTTTAGTTCTATCTTATAAATCATATATTTAAATTTAAAATTTAAATGTAGGATTATTTTAAAATTTTTAGTTCCATCTTATAAATCATATATTTAAATTTAAAATTTAAATGTAGGATTATTTTACAATTTTCAATTCTATCTTATAAATCATACATTTAAATAATTTAGATGTAGGATTATTTTAAAATTTTCAATTCTATCTTATAAATCATACATTTAAATTTAAAATTTAAAGGTAGGATTATTTTAAAATTTTTAATTCTATCTTATAAATCATATCTTTAAATTTAAAATTTAAATATAGATTATTTTAAAATTTTCAATGGATTAAAATTTTCAATTCAATTCTATCTTATAAAGGTAGGATTTAAAATTTTCAATTCAATTCTATCTTTATAAAGGTAGGATTTAAAATTTTCTGTTCTTTCGGTTCTAGGATTATTTTAAAATATTCTGTTCCATATTTAAATTTTATTTAAATGTAGGATTATTTTAAAATTTTTAATTCTATCTTATAAATATAGGATTATCTTAAAATTGTAGGATTATTTTAAAATTTTCAATTCTATCTCATAAATGTAGGATTATTTTTAAAATTTTCAATTCTATCCTTTCTCTATTCTATTTTTATCAAAATTCTTCAGTTCTATTTTATTTCTATCAAAAATATCAAAATTCTTCAGTTCTATTCTATTTCTATCAAAATTCTTCAGTTCTATTCTATTTTTGTTCTATCAAAATTTTATGTTAATGTTATATCTTCAGTTCTATTCTATTTCTGTTCTATTGTTCTTTCTATTCTATCAAAAAATTTTATGTTAATGTTATATTGTCAGTTCTATTCTATTTCAGTTCTATTGTTCTTTCTATTCTATCAAAATTTTCTGTTCTATTTCTGTTCTATTATTCTTTCTATTCTATCAAAATTTTCTGTTAAAAAATTCTGTTTCTGTTCTATTATTCTTTCTATTCTATCAAAATTTTCTGTTAAAAAATTCTGTTCTATCTTCAGTTCTATTCTATTTATGTAGGATTATTTTAAATTCTATTTAAAGGTAGGATTATTTTAAAATTTTCTAGAATTATTTTTATTTTAAATTCTATTTAAATGTAGGATTATTTTAAATCTATTTTATAAATCATAATTTTAAATAGTAGATCTATAAATCATAATTTTAAAAAATTTTCTATTCTAAATCTATTTTAATAATAGATTTAAATTGTTCAATATTTTCCAATACTAAGTATATTTTTTTATTTCAATATTTTTCATAAATCATACCTTTTATAAATCATAAATTTAAATTTAAAATTTTTTAGTATCCATTTAAATTGTTGAATATTTTCAAATGCTAAGTATATCCATTTAAATAGTTGAATATTTTCAAATGCTAAGTATATTTTTTATTTCAATATTTTAAAATATTTTCAAATGCTTATAGATTAGGTATATTTTTTATATATTTTTTATTTTAATATTTTTCATTTTTTATTTTTACCGATATAAATATGTATATTCAATAAATTAAAAAATTAAATAATTAATATGTTGGCCCATTGATTTACCAAATAAATAAATAAATAAAATTACTTTATTTAATTTTTTTCTATTTTTCAGAACGCCTCCAATCCATACAACACCCCCGCATGTTTCTCCACCTCATTCTGTACAAAAAACGTGTCCCTCATCTTCTGAAACGCATGCCACGTCAGCAAACTATCCGAACCGGCCTGATGGCACTTCCCAACCGCCCGGTTCACATTCAAACTCTTCGCTATCCGGTCCAACCCGCCGTACAGGCTCTTGCAGAACCGCATCATGTACTTCACATCGTACACGTTATCCCCGAATAAAACCCTTAGAACGCCGAGGAATTCATCCAGCCGATTAGGAAGGCTCTTCTGAGTCAGAATCTTAATCAAATACGCGAAGTCATACGCGCTGTGAAACGTCACCCAACTCACTGAGTCATTACAAACGAGTCCCGACGACATCATCAACTCGGCAAATCGGCACGAGTCGATTCCTTCCACGCGGTTCCGGTCAAAATCGATGCCCTGACGGCGGAGAAGGTCGATTGAATCAGGCGCGTAGATGTCACGCGCTAGATCGAAATCCATGAAGTTAAACTCCCAAATGAATCGGCTATCATCGGTACCGAGATCTGGTAAATTTCCATCGGAATCGGAGAGAGTGATACCGATCTGTATGAGATTGAGAGCATCGACGTTGGATTTGAGGAGTTTGTAATGATCAGAGGAGGAGCGATTTAGAGCGTTGAAAGGCGCGGTTGGAGCGGTGAAAACGATTCCGGGGAACTCAGTGTCCATTGAAACGCAAGGAAAGTGATCGATCAAATCGCGGATCAACTGGAACTCAGATTCGAGATTGGAGGCCCAAACTTCACGGATTTTGATGGATTTGTAGTGATTGTTGTTGAGATCGTGGCTAACCATGGCCGAATTCTCGAGATTTGATCCGATCGGATCTGAAAACAAGATTGGAGTGAGATTTGGATGAAGAAAAAAAAGGAAGAAGATGAAGTTCTTATAGAAATTGAAAAGGGAGAAAGTGAGGGATTTAGGGGAAGGTGCGAGGATGGATGCAGTGTATTGTGAGGTTGAACGCGTAATTAAATGTTTTGACTCGGAGACTAAGCGAGTTGACTCGGTCCAAATTGGGTTCTCTCCGGGCCGATTTTTTTTTTTTTTTTAAATAATAATAATAATAATTAAAAAAAAGAAGTTAGTGGGCCAACTTTTTCTGTCTTCGTGCCACTTTCCTCGTGGAGTGTTTACGCTGATTCCCCATTTTCTTTTTCTTTTTTTCGTTTTTTAATTAAAGAAAATTAAATTAATGCAATTTTAAACGTGGGGAATTTAATCTTGGTGTATCCCATGAGGTTATTTTTATGAAATAAAATAACATTTTTTTAAAAAATTAAATATTTGGTCGTTAATTAAATAACACTCCTTAATGATTATATGATGAGATATATATTTTTTTTTTTAGTAATATAGTTTGACTGATAATATAATAATAATATTAGAGGTGGGATCATTCTTTGGCCCGGGTCCTCTCCTAGAATTGATTTATGGGATACTATTTAGTTAGTTTGTGTGATGTGTATAGTTCGGTGTTGAGTTCTGACATGTGATTATGGTTGATCCCTATGGACCAGACCAAACATTGATGAAATGGGTGTCCACTTGATGTAACTTGCATGATTCTCCTATCAAATATTAATTTTTCAACCAAACAATTTATAATAGGAATTTAAATATTTTGTAGTTCAGCCTTATACAACGAAACAATTTAAATATGTTGATGGAACTACGGTTTTACCACCTAACTTTAAACTAGAAACCTCCTCAGCATTCAACATCAAATATTTGACATGGAAAGTAGCCGATCAAAGATTTCTCTATCTCCTCTCTCACCGAGGAAGCCATTGCTATTGTTGTTGGTCTTTCACAGCACGTGACGTTTTGCTCGCGTTGAAAACTACATTCAACCATCCATTTGAAAGCCTTAAGATTCAAGAATGACTTACCGCTGATGAAATGCGACACCAAGCCTGTTGTTGACTATGCTCGTACCTTTAGTACAATTTGTGATCAACTTCATGCTATTAGTAAATCCGTCGAAGACATTGATAAAGTGCGCTGATTTCTTTGTGGACTTGTCACCTATGGTAAGCCGGAATAGATGCTTATAATAAATAGTCAAATATGGTACGTATGGTAAACTGTAATAGAAGGCTAAATATCATACCACATATTTATTTATAATAAAGGATCAAATATGATACCTATAGTAAACTATAATTTAAGGTTACATAAATGAGAATGAGGGGAAGAGAGAATCTGAGTTTTTCCGATGAGACAAACCAAAGAGATCCGACGTCAAAATGACTAATCCACGTAGCTGAATCGACGACTGAAAATGCCACGACACAGGAGTGAGGCAAAGATCACGAGGAAACGGGTAAGGAAGATGAAGTCCATGGGTTTCGGGTCGGGTCCAGATCGGGTACCTAATTGGTGATCCAATACTGCAATCATCTGTCCGCAACCCAAATACCCACACAGCCCAAGAACCAACCCTCGGCCAACCCGCAGGGATAAACCGAGCCCAGACCTGCAACCCGAAACTGCCACATCAGCCCACCTACAACACCTCGGCCCAAGCCTGCACCTGAGGCTCAGATTGATAAGCTGAAATAACCTGCAGCAGCCCAACTTCATGACGCGTGACCCGCACCTCGACCTACACGCGTCAGCGCCCCGTTGCGCCATGTGACACACCTGCAGATAAAAATCCCCTCGGCTTACATGGCTCAATCGCCTTCGGCTCGGCTCCACGACTCAAAAACCAGTTCCTTAGCTCGGTAAAGGGTATTTTTTCCCAATTTCTACGGTTCGAACCATCTCGAAGCTGATTTTGACTCTAATTAAGGTAATTGAGGTAAGTATGATCATCATTATTGCCAAATTCATTTTAAATTACATTAGAAATGTGAACTACTAACAAAATGAGATGGCAATCCTAATAGGAAACGACTCTCGATATTTAGAACAATTTCGAGAAATGGAAGACAAGCGTACTTGAACTTAAGGAAACACTAGCTAAGGTCAACCAAGTAAGTGACCTTACTATAGAATAGGCTAAACAACTTGTTTGATGATGACGACACGTGCTTAGTGGCCCCTGATTATATTAATGCTTTGTACTTATGATGCTCTGATTATATTATATGATGATAATGTATAATGTATGATGTATGATGACGTGAATGAGTTATATGATGATTTCATATGATATTGTATGATGATTATGATGATGATGCATGATAACATGACGATGTAAGACGTAAGATTACAAATTTCCTTAATATGACATTGTTTTCTATATTAAGATGAAGGCATGTTTTAAATGTCATGTTGCATTATGACAATGATTTTTCTGGGACACAACCCTATGATGAATGTACAAAGACCAATAAACGTATATTATTTATATTAATATGTGAAAGGAACTTAAGGTTGTCACAAAAATGTTTTAAAGATGAGAAACTATAGGGACCTCATGCATTATGTGTGTACATATACATCGAGCTACTTTCCCTTGTATGATGATGAGTACAGACGTGTACACTGCGATGATGATGATCAGCATCATGCTTCGCATGACACTCAGGAGTCAGTTGACCTCCGGATGTCGCTACGGACAACTAGCTCGACTATGATGGATCTAGAGGGTGCGAACCGCCTAGGGATCCACACTTGCATGTGTGGGTCGTGTGTAGGAAAGTACTACCCATCTAATGTTGTCCGGACTGGAGGCCACCCCTTTGATGGTTTTAACAATAGGTCTCTAGAGCATGAGTGACATGTGTTTGCATTTTCCGACCTCAATAGCGGGGTCACTTATAAAATACTCAGGCCGTGTGCTACTTCTATTTCAAGTAAAGGTAAAACACTAATGTACAGTTGACAACGACATCGCAATCAGAGACCATGACACGTGCATATACTAGTAGTATTTTAAATTCTTAGACTTAGTTTAGTACACCGTGTTTTGCATTTAATGTTTTATTTTATTTATTTATTATTCTTCTTATCTTGTTTTGAATATATTTTCGAACATGTAAGACCATGATAGCGTTTTAAGTCAACGTTATATTTTTAAGGTGAAGATTATGTTTCACAATGGCATTTTAAATGTTTAATTCCACATAAGAGTATAGAGTATGATGACAGTAACGACTTTAGGTTATTAGAAATCTAAGGTCATTACACTATATAGGGGGGCGTTACTGTCTTTTAAGTATGAAAATGACATAGGCTAAAATAAAACAATCACATAGTTATCTATATATATATATATATACTCATCTCTCTTTTTTTCCCTAAAGACGTAAGAAAGAAATATGGTCTTGTCAAAGCTAAGGGCACTATTCGTCTAGATGGGTGGGCACATCATTTCCCGAGTACCAATACTACTATTTTATATTACTGGTCATCAAACCTCACCGAGATATTGCCATTGAACATGTCAAACCCAACCACTGACGTAGCCATGCATCAAAGAAATTTTAGATGGTAGTGATTGCTTGCATTGGTATCTTCCTAGTATCCTGGACACATGGAACATGATCCCTTCTTCTAAAATATAGCTTCGTCTGTCCTAAAAGTTCACTTTTGGACATTCAACTTTGCTCCGTGAGTAATCCAAGAAGGTATCTTAATTTGCAGCCTCTAGTAAAGATGATCACTATGAGATGGGTTTGTTAGGGAGAGTGATGGGAAGAAGAGATGCAATTGTATAATCACGATTTTATATTAGCTAATGGTTCATTTATCAAATGAAAATTTTGGTGCATTCTATGGAAATTCAACAATAGTCATCTCGTTATTTGATTACCCTTCTAAGGAAATTCAACATTCCACCTCTTGATTGCTCGAAACTACTTGTTAAATATAGTTATTATGATCCTTAATACTCATCTGACTCCGAAATTCAACTTCGTTCAACTTCGTTCATGCTAACTAAAATTATGAATAATTTTCTAAGGTCGTTGGTTTGAATTTTAATACTTTCTAAAAAAAAAAAAAAAATTATATTCTTAATTAAAGCAAGTTTTGGATGAAACACGTGATGGTATAATATGCCATATAGTTTAATTTTTGTGAATTAAATATTTATTTTATATGATAAAAAGGAGAATTGAGTGCAAACAAATTATTTTTTAGTTTTTGCCTAATTTCATAATGGACGACTAAATTATAATATTACGATATTTTAAGTTACTTACACTTTGGAGCTTCTTTTTGGAGAGAAGAAAGACTCGTGTTATTGAGGTTCCTTCTTCCGTCAAGATCCGAGAGAAATCCGCAAGGTAAGATCTCGAACGTTACTCTCAAGATCTGAGATCTTCGTTTGGGAATAGAGCGTTAAAGTTTACTATCTTCATCTAGGGAAGATCCGCCACTAATTTTGTGAGGAAATCGGACGAAACGTCGAGATCTGAGAATCTTTCCAAGAATGGTAAGGATGTTATCGTACCTCTTTTTGACTTCATAACTCGTCGTATGATTAAGTAAAAATCAAGAAAAAAATATTGGCACGTAGGTTGTAATATGATCTAAAACTTTGTTGAAAAAGTCATTACGGTTTGGATTAAGAATCGAGAGATATAAAAATGAGAAGAACATCAGAATACTAATCGAAAACCTCGTTTTTCTGCTAGGAGGAGAGAGAAGATGACGGCGCGCCATGTGTCAACCGGCAAGAGGACCGCGTGCGCCAACAATCACCGGACACGGGTCGAATGTCGCTTGGGAAGACGTGGCCCCAGCCTTCTAGCGACACGCATCCCTAGCCATGCAACCCGACCTGCGTCCCTCGGCTGACCCGGTACCCGTGCGACGAAACAAACCGCGGTGACTCGTTGTCCACCCGAACCATTGCACCTAAACCGAACCGATGACCTGCGGCTGCAGAAAATCGGGGGCGTGTGACACTTGCGCATGGAACTTGCGAGTGACTTCATCCCGGCGCGTGGAAGCGCATTTTCGTCCCGTTCGACTCCTGTTTTTCCTATTTTCCTCCCGAATCC